AAATTAGAAAATGTTAATTCCTGTACCTTATTTTTTCATAGATACTTCAGATTTTCGGTAATCACATTCAAGTGGTAATCTAGAGGTAAAAGGCCAAAACAATATTATTCGCTTATAATTTAATTCTATATTTGGCTTCCCTGACTTCCGTTAGGATTCAAGTATAAAATAACACGAACAGTGTGAAATAATTGGGTTTTTGAAAATGTGAATTAGCTCAATCTATGGAGATAGTGAACATTGAGTTATTTATTTTATGCTTTCAAATGTTGTTTCTTGTTCTTTCCGATACAGTGTGCAAATGTTGTTTCGATATTTCTTGTGACTCCACTCATGTATATCATTCTGACACTCATCAGATCTTTGTTTTTCAAACTAGATGTTACAACTGGGAGAAATATACTTGACACGAAAGAAGATCACTGCATATCATTATGCAATATCATAGACATTTCATGTCAGAAGTTATATCAAATAAGGAAGTAATGTTCACACTTCTAAGGGGAATATCAATCAATTTATTTCTAATCTATTCTAGCACTTGATATTGTCTGAAGTATCTGTTATCAACAACAAATAATTACATGTACCAGAGCATCCTTCATCAAAAGGCTTCATTGCTCTTTCAATTTGACAGGAAATTCAATTATGGATGGAACCAGAGGTTTCAGTAGACTTGTGAAAATTATAAATGACACAGGCCCATAGCCCAGCAAGAGTTCAAGGGGGAGGGGAGGGGGAGTTGCCATTCAAAATCATGCAGTTTTTCACCATTCTGAGCACTTTTCGAGTAATTTTGGGACCTTAAATGTTTAAAATGTGGGCCCAATTTTGCTTCTAGGGGCCCAAATTTTTTTTCGCCCTTGCCCCCCTATTAGTTTTCAGATCTGCCCCTGTACTAGTAAATGTACTTTTACATAGATTCATCTGAAGCATCTTGACATGACAAGGTATTCTAAAGAAAGAGAATGGGGATTGATTATGTGAATAAGGTAAACAGAGATGAGCAGTATGGATATCCCTGGTATGGATTACCAAGAAATATTCACTACAGCTTTATAATAAGCACTATTCTCCAATCTAGCTCTCCTTTTTTGATTACTTAATAATCACACAAATACCATGGTTGGTAAAACAGTAAAGAGATCTAGAGATGCAAGGTTAAATTAACATATGTGAACATGACCTTCCAAAATGATAGATCCACTACATCCAAGAGTAAAACACAAGATACTATCTAACTTGCCGAGGGTAGGAAGATTAACAACACTTCTATAGATGTTTCATCTCAATTACAACTTGTGAGATCCTGACCTAGTAAGGGATAGCTAAGGGAAGTGAACACTTAAAGTCATCTGGTCGTTCCTGTAAACAATTGCTCACTTTGGTAAACAATGACTATGTCTCCATGAGATAAGACAACAACTTTCACATGACCACTAATGAAGACCAAACATGTACCATTAGATATTCCTGCCAACTAGTATCAGTACTGTCAACCCCTAAAGATTTTCTCGCGGGACAGATTTTTAGACCCACGGCAGTGCCCAAAATTCGCGGGCTTTTGCGGGACATGTACTAAATTCGCAGGATTTCGCGGGACATTTAAGGCATTTGCGTGATTGCGCTAATAGGCCAAATTTTTTTTATCAAATTCGCGGGATTTCGCGGGACCATTTGAGGGACAAACACTCTAATTGCGGGACAGTTAACAGGTTTACCACCAAAAACTTCATAGAGGGACAGATGTTTTAGACAACGTGCCCTAAATTTGCGGGATTTCGCGGGACATCCACCTAAATTTGCAGGATGTCCCAGGACATTCAAGGGATTTGCGTGATTGGGACTTTAAACCGTTGCATTATAACTTAAATAAATGTCAACACAATTTCACAAAATACGCATAGGAATATTATTAAACTTTATTGTAATTTATCAAAAACAAAAACCATGCTTCAGGTGTGAGTACCGTAATCTAACACGAAATTCAAAAATTCGGAACAATACTTTGCACTTCTGGCGTCGTGACCAACTATGAAACGCTTACCCCCATAATGTTATATATCAAAATGTACCTATTCATATACTGTAGGCATGGGCTTTCAATTGAAAGCCCATGATATAGGGGTTCGATTAATCTACATCAAATTATAGGGAATGAGGTTACTTTTCTAGATAGGGTTTGTAGAAAAAAACGGGTACCGGGTAGTAAATCCTCCATGCTGGGTTCAAACTTGGTACCCGGTCGAAAAAACCGGGTACCCAAAAAACGAAATATACGAATATACAACATAATTAGATCATTAGAAAACGTGTAAGATTTGTTTTGAATTTACAAAAATGTATGTAACTTCCTTCAAAATTGCGCTAGAAGCTTCAAATGAAAAGCATTTTAAGGCTCTTTTCTTCCTTTATCATCATAACCAATGAAAATATGGCCATGACGATAGAGGAAGAAAAGAGCCTTAAACTATGCTTTTTATTTGAAGCTTCTAGCTCAATTTTGAAGAATGTTACATACATTTTTGTGAATTCAAAACAAATCTTACACGTTTTCTCATAATCTAATTATGTTATATATTCGTATTTTTCGTTTTTTTGGGTACCCGTTTTTTGGACTGGGTACCAAGTTTGAACCCAGCATGGAGGATTTACAACCCGGTACCCGGTTTTTTCTACAAACCCTTTCTACATATCAGCGTCCATTTATTGTAACTCGCGTTTGCTAACATTTGCTCAGTTCTGAGATGAAGGTCACACGGGTAGTAAAAAGGCCAACGTTGGAACTGTTTGTGACCTACATCCCTATTTTCGTAATTAAAATGAAAGTTGAACCCTTCCTCTTTATTTTGATACCAAACAACAGCATGCTAGGTAGTTACAACAAGGTAAACTTTACTCCTCAAAAGTGCAAAAACTTAGCTTCTTATATAAGATAAGATAATCACAATATAGGGGATTGCAACAATTTCGGAAATTCGCGGAGGTTAAAGCCACATTTGCGGGACTTCGCGGTAGGTAGGTAGCTCTGTAGTATGTTCATATATTCCCTTTTAAGTCCAAATTAGTAGGTCAAAGCATCAACAGTTATGGAAGACAAAAGTTATTTTCTTAGGGGAGGAGGTAAATCATTATGTAATGACAATTTCTTTTCAAATCAGAAATGAACATTTCCAAATTTTGTTACATTTTAGAGGAATTTAATGACTGGGTCACATTTGCTCCAATTCATCGGCCGGCGCCTGGTCGATTGAGTATTTTGTAAAAAAATATAAAAAAATTTCAAATTGAAAACCAGAAAGCTGTGGATAGTCATTAATCAAGGGCCTTCACCTAACCATTCTACCTTCTCTCAACCTGGACACAGAATTTAGAGGGGGAGGGTACAGGAGGTAAAGACATTACTAGCTGTGGTTTAGATCTAGGTTGGAACCAAGCTAATCATTTTATTTCTCCTCCGTGAATACAGGTCTAAACTGAAACTTGATACAACAATGTGGTCTACTATGCTTGTGACTGAGTATGCATTAGCTGCAAAAATGAACAATGATCAAATATAAAACAGAATATGTGCTTGAAATTATACATTTGTTAAGCCACCAGAGCACCACGGGAAGATCACAACCATAACAGATGCTAAGAAAATGTTAGACATGTTAAATTTGAAATATTATTACAATTTGTTAATTGTGTATTCTGCTCACTGTAGTGACAATATATAAATGACTCATTGGGAGAACTGTTCAATAATTGTTCCTAATTTTCGAAATGAGATCCAGAAATTGGATTATCAATTAAGACCTAATATCCACGAGGAAATGAAGAACTAAAGACCGACTCTTGAAACAACTGATTACACTATAAGTAGCTGTCAACTCCTATTAAAAATACTTCAAAAATGTGTTAGGAATAGTATATACATATGATGCAGGAACTGACAGTCACAAGTATGCACTTCCATGGAGTCGGGTATCATGCTAATAATTGGATACATAATACCAGAGAAAAAAATCTGATTAATAACTGCAGCTATGATTGCATGACAGAATTAGAATAACTACCCTGTCAAACAATATTGCAAATAAGATAATTTGAAGAGCAATCTCTGAGAAGATACTGACTATATATATATATAGAATCCCCAGTTGTTTAAACTTCATTTTGAACGATTATGATGTAAAAAGCAAGATATTGATACAATGGCAACATCTTCAAAATCCATTAGACAACTAGCACCATTGTATCATTAAGAAGGGTCTACAAGGGTGAGATAAACAAAAGTGCCAAATACAACATATACAATGTCAAACACAAGATCGGTGCCAATTTGCCTGGTTATAATTGTTGCCAAACAAACCAATTCAACATTTCGATCTGAACATTCTTCATTGCATATTGATGAAGAGAGCTATTAGATTTCATTGAAATATAATATAATATGTCTATTTATGTTCTTGTGAATAAATGGAAATACCCATTTAGAGATAGAACTCGAATATGTTATATTCTGTAATGTTGGATCTATCAGCTCAAATGGATTATTCATGCAAACTTGATATGGGTAAACTTAATTGAGTTAACCCATAGAAAGCTATACAAAGCGCAAATGATTGGAAGAATGATATTTGCATCCCTTAGGATGAAAAACATTGATCTGATAAAACCTTGGGCTTCTCAAAATCTAAGGATTCTTATTAATATTTCCTTGTAAAGCACATTTCTAAGAACCCCTCACAGTGTTGCATGCAGTATAATACTATGTTACATCATGGACACCATATAAAACAATTATATGCAGGCTCATATATCATAAATGACATTTAGAGAATGTAATTCATTAATGAAATATTGCCAGAATTAGTCTAATATCAAGCCGTGTGATGTAAGATTCCCCTATATTAATTGCATTTATCTTATACACATATAGATAGTGATATAACCCTCGAGAATGCAAAAACAAGAATAAAGATTAATAAGACGATATGTTTGCAATAACTCACCTATGAACATGAGCGACAATGTCAAAAAACTGGAGCCTGCCATATGTAATGCTCCGAGTACAATTCCAGTCACAACACAGCATACTCCCAGCATAGCGAGCACTACAAGGACCCATCTAAATGTTGTTAATACTGTAAGACAATGGAATACATTCTCAGATGAGCAACATCCTTTACTGGATGACCTGGAAGAATCCACTGAAGGTGCACGTCTTGGGTCACGTCGCGAACGTGTCTGTCTCACATCAATCGAGATATCAGTCTGTGTTAAATTTCCACTAAGTCTGTTTTGATTGTCATTCCGTGAGCCCCGATGTTGATTAGGCCTTGGGGTGTATGGGGGCAGATTAGCCGAGCTAACTATATCGGGAAGAGCTGCATTTCCCCTTGGGGTTTCTGACTCAAGGAGTGTAATCCCTGGGTTAAGTATACCAGTTTGTATCCTATTACTGGGCCCCTCACCCCCTGAGCGAATCAACTCTTGTTCATCGCTAAAATTGATTGCAAAGTCACTTCCACTGCTAATCATTGATAGTCGGTTTTCTTGACTAGTTCGGTGGATGTTATCCAATGACTGTCTCGTGCTGGCTGCAGCACGTGCTACTGGGGGAGCCGATCTCCCTTGAGTTTGCCTCCGGGCACGTGGTTCTAGCACCATTGGGGGTGGTACCCCATCAGGACGTCCCATATCCTGGTGTTGTCCGGAGGTTGAGGGGGAAGGTTCCGTGTCCTGGGCTACCCTGTCTCTGCTTGCAGGCCTAGATCTCCTCTTCGGCATATAACAATCGATCAACCTGTTAGCATTCACCTGATGCTGCCTTGAGGCTGATTGCTGATTGGCTCTTACAACATCTGGGTAATTAACATGTGAGGATCCTCGTACAGGTGCCGCATTAACACTGGGTCCACTCGCTCGTACTATAGTTCCACGACTAGACCTTGACACCCTCTGTTCTGATCTGATGCTACGAATTACTGCTGAAGCCATGTTAAAGCCAGTGAATTATTAGGCATGCTGTCTGATTGGTTAACTCTAGAGTGGATGCTGGATATAGAATCTGTAGCAGGTCTGGTAGATATTAGATTACCAGCTGTAGTTATACTGTCTAATTGTTCTTGTGATCCCTGTGGATTAAAGACCTTTAATCCCTCTCAATTAGAAGCCAGTCTCTGAAACAGAAACCAAAGCCATTGAGATTAACAACATGATTTTAAAATGAAAGTCATTACTTTTATCATCAATGGTGTTCAAGAGGGTGTGAAACTATTATCAGATGAGTATATGGGAATCAAAGAACAGAACTTGTAATTACACATAGAATATTACATTGCATTGATAATCAGTTATAATTACAGACTTATATCTAACATGTGGTGTATTTAATTCTATGTTAATTTATACATGTGATAATTAAAATTATAATAACCCTGGCCCTGAATATGTATTCAACATAAATTATTTTAATTGCAGTCATAATATCTAACCACAATATAATGAAACTCCAGGCACATCCTAACATCTCCTAAGTGGAGATGAGTTTGGTTCTGGCAAATGGAACCCACATGGGTATTAGACACCAAATGTTCAACACATGTGTCCATTATTGTGAAAAAATGAGCGTCTGATATGAGCCCTTTGCTTTAAATATATATCTAAGCACTCTTTTTCCCCCAGCACACTATATGTTTGAGTACTCTATATCCCTGAGCACTTCAAACACTTCCACTACATCAATATCAATATATAATATTATCAATATAGCATATAACTTTTTCTTTTTAGATAATGTCATTGAATGAATACAGAAGTTTCTTACCTGACAACCTAAATAACATGTAAATATCACTTTTCTCTAATTTCCTTTGAAATGAAAACCACACTTACTAAATAAATGACGTGAGAGTTAGTATTTGGACACAAGAGTGATGTATTGGTTTAATAAAATGAACCTACAATGCCGCATTTAGATTGGATTTCTAATATTTGTAAAAAGATTTTAGGATCAGCTATTCTTGAATAAGTCTGATTTAAAAGATAAATGAAAATAGAGTTTAAGCTTTTATATTTGGCATTTGATCCTATTTTATGAGGTTATTAAGACCTCTGGATATTATTTTGTCATCCTTGCTTGATATTCAATAGGTAGAAGTCTCTTAGCTGAAATGTATTTGAATGTCTTCAAGACCAGACTTTGAAAATGTGAAAAATATATTTGTTACTTACCTAAATATGATATAATATAGCCAAAACATTTAATATAAGTAAAATTTGATTTCTTTTGTTCTGGTATTTATACTATTTGACTACTTGTATCACTATCTATCTGATTAGCTAGAATTCTTTATTTATCCCAAGTGTTTATGAAGTACGCTCAACATAGACAGTAAGTAGAAAACTTTGAAACTATATTATCATAAGAATTAAAGTCTAGGATTGATAAGCTTTTAAGAAATTATTACCTTCTTGGGAGTATGTGTAAAATATCCCTTCCATGATAAGAAAAATCTAATGTCATGTGTTGCCGTGTTAAAGCTGTTATTAAAGTGCTTTTTAGAAACTCGGATATACCACTCAAAATACAACCTATATATTAACTTGAACCTAAACATTTGTTGGTTTGAGTCAATATTTTTTCAATTCATTATTGACCCCTGTAAATCATTTCAACTTGAGTTTAATAAAAATGTAAACAAAGCCTGATAACATAACATAACATAACAACAAAACTGAATTTAAATATTCAAAATAACATGAAATATAATGTTACTATTTATTTATTGAAAGAATTTACAAGGTTTTTAAGTACTTTTTATATCCAGTGCAATTTAACCCTCGGTTAATTTCAAATGAAATGCCTTGTTAATTTCAAACTTAAACATGATTTTGAAAAAGGTTATTGAACTTACTTTTACTGATGTAAACCTTTCAGTAGATTTTATGTTAAGAAAAGGTCAACGTGTTTCTTTCTTATATCAATTTTTTGCCCTTGTAATATCCAGTTCCAAATGCTTTATGTCAGCAATGGTCCAGGTGCTCTATTTAAGTAAATACCCTCACTTGAACTGTTGAAAGAACATTGGTCCTTTTTTCAGAAACCACAATGTAAAGCTTTAGTTCCTCTTTTGGTACATACGAGGGGTGATTCAAAAGGAATGGACAAAATTTTATAGGCATACTAAATTTCACCCAATCAGTCTAATTTTTTCATAGTGAATAGATCAATCAATTCTCTACTTTGTGTCGAATTCTCATTTAAATGCATTTGAAATTGTTTCAGCTATGCGTAACCATGGTAACAAGGGTAAGCATGGGTGGAATTGGTTTTTTAATGATAATTGAATGTTTTTGTCATTTTTGCTTGATTTCGTTTTAATGACTCAATTACCACACATGATATGTCTAACAAGCATGGTAATGCAATTGTCAAGCAAGACTCACATGCCCATGTGTTTGCTGTTGAGTTCTAAATTCAGCAACCAATTGTGCTATGACATCACAATGATATTTCTAAGAAAATGCAATCTTGGACAGGCACTTCAAAAGAAAAGGAGACACAAGAGACAATCGTTTGTTACACATGGACAATGCCCCAGCACAAAGGTCCAAGCTAGTTCAGGATACTCTTGCAGCATTCATGGACATTCCTCAACTTCCACATGCTCCATATAGCCCTGATACTGCTCCTTGTGATTTCTATCTTTTTCCCACCCTTAAGATGGCATTAAAGGGACAATCCTTTCAGACATTAGCTGAGCTGCAAATTGCTGTACGAAAACAGCTGAACACCATGGCTGCTGATGGATTTGGGCATGTGTTCTCTGCATGGGTGCGCTGACAGAAGAAAGTAATTGAACTTGGAGGAGAATACATTGAGGATTGAATATAATTCAAATGGATGATCATCAGGAATAATAAGGAATGATATGGATTATTATTGAACTTACTGTGATATGCTTTTCATATACATCTTGCATTGCAAAATATATTGCACCAGCAAACTTTTCATTGAAAATCCATTTGTTATTATGATGAAAATAGCCTTAAAAATGGATTCCGGGTGTATGCACCATGATCCTAGAGAAGTGCTCTATCTCAAAATGTATTTGCATTTAGTTAATAAAATTTTAACATCTAATAGATAATTGATTAATCTTTATTTGTACAAAGTTTCATTCAAATCTGGTAAAGGTAAGCGTGCCTATAAAATTTTGTCCATTACTTTTGAATCACCCCTCGTATTAAGGGAAGCCTTAAAACTTCAGCATAAAAAGTAGAAGCCAAATACAGAAACCACCTAGGACCTACATAGGGAAACACCAGGGAAACAGTCTGTTTAGCTTCTATATTTAGCATATAGACTGATGCATGTATCAGGTGCTGTTTTGCCAATCTGCCCTTTCTAACTAAAACAGTACTTTTTTTCCATTGAATATTTGTTGGAATTACATATGGTAATACCACCAATTAAGACTGGATTTTTGTAGAAGAATGTACCCAAAATTTGAACATTTATGAACTCACAATCCTAAAGATGTCTTAATTTTAAAGATATGGTCCAACCATGAAATTTTTTAGAAAGGTTAAGAATTCACAGCAGGGAGCATTTGTCAATGCCAATGTTTTCAATTATAGATTTTTTTCAAATTACCTTTTTAGTTGAGTCTTGTATTTCTTTTTTTTACTTCTACAAATCATCATAAACAGAAGTTTGCTTAATTGTAAATCTATGATTTGCATATCACATGAAAATACTTGAAATGATAAGATAATTAAAAACAAACTTTCTTATTTCATTATTTTCATTTTCTCCTGACATGGCACCTATCTCTGCCATTTTGATGCTAAAAACAAAATGTCTGAATGAACTGTTTGGTTTTGTTTAATTTTACTAATACAAGTATATCTCAAATTAACTTAAAATTATTCAAAAAGATAATGTTGGCTACTGTGATAATAATAGACTTACTGTCAAGTTTATCCAAATGTAAATGAATAAACTGATAAACAATTCTCTATAATCTTGGCTCCACTTTGACAGTGTATTTTACATGATAAACCACTTCCAAGAAATAACTTAATTTGCTGTTTCAATGAAATGAAATTCCTACCAGTCTATTGCACAATAACTCCAAGAATGTAAAAACAAAGGTCAAATAATTCTGTTATCGGGAATATTATTGACGTACAAATCAATATGAAGGTCTTATAATGGCCCCGATATGATAAGTAAATAATATCCAAGATAACGCATATGTCTTGTAATGTTTTCTTAAAATATTATTAAGTTACATGTATTTCCTTTGTGTTTTATGGAATAGAACAATAGAATAATACTGATATTCATACATCCTGGTTAATTGGCAGGATGCATTCTGGTATGCCAGAGCCCCTCTTATCTGCTGGCGTGGCTATCGCAATGGACAGGATGGCTTACAATTAACCAAATCCTGTAGAAAATTACATTAAAAGTCAATAACGTGACATTCTTTCATTTTACTGTATATACATGTACATCTTTTGTTCAAATGTTATGTTGAGCTGTATAAATAAATGAATGTGGGAGTTCAGGGTCACTGAATTATTTGATGATAAAGAGACACTGAGTACAACAATCAGAGGAAATGACAAAAATATTAAACCTACTCAGTACTGAAATAGGAGCATCTCATGATAAACCATGACATCTCATTTCTACTCAGCCTAGAGATGTTTTAAACAGAAAGATGCTATCAAATTTGGAGAATCAGAATGAAATAGGAGTTGCATGTAAAAGTGGCATTAAGGAATCAGTTGTATTACCCTTTGCATTCGTTTGACTTCACTTCTTAAAAGAGAGCTTCGTCTTCACTCTTTCAAACTAAAATAAACCTGTGAACTCACCGCGCCAATCAGTGTTCGTCGGCCAAATTTGACCGACGTTCTATATATGGTCATTCCTTCTGACGTCATCGTTGAGCCCGGAATTGACCAATGACATGCGCATATTTAATTAGAACGCATTTGGCGTATGTTTGTTCAGGCTCGCTGAATGGTGGAAGAAAGGTCAGCGCATAGGTCAGAAGTGATTTATATTATTACCCAAACTGTCACCGGTACCCGTCGTGGGGGCGGGGCTACTAAACTGTAATATGGTCTCTACTAGGCAGAGTGTAGTTTAACTAGACTCTGCACGCAGGGTACAGTTGTATTGTTAGAGAGATGATTGAGAAAATAGAGATCAGGGGTTTCATTAGCGGCAACAGGCGATTTTCATCGGTTATTTTCACAAAATCGCCTGTTGTTTTTTGGGGCTTTTCAACATTTCCATGTTAAATTTATGATTTCCGTTAATTTTGCCAGTTGTTTTCATTTATTTAAAGCCTTTTGTGAGAAATTCTAGTGAAACCCTGGATGATTGAGCAAAAAATTTACTAGAATTGCATCAAGTCTTCAGATACCCTCTGTACCTATCTACAGAGATATGTTGAGGTTAGGCTTGAAGAAAGACTAAAATTAAGTATTTTAAGTCATCTCCTCTACATATTTATAGGCTAATTGGTAAAGTATATGGTTATAAAAAGGGTCCCTGGTCACTTCATTTTTGGTAATTCTGACGTGACAACCGTTTCTCATCAAATATTTTCATTTTACCAAATATTTTCGTGGATTTAATAGTCATTATGTTGCATATTCTGCAAAAATCCATTATTAAATCCCTATAGTAAAATCCAAATTAAAGAGAAAATATACAAAGAATTTCATGATCACCTTAATGATTAGTGCAAACCACAAAAGCTTCCAGCAAAACATCATAGTTTCATTCGTGAGACTTATACATGTATGTATGTACTGTTCAGTCTACCTGTCAAAATTCTCATTCTACCACATATGACTAAGAAATATCCTTGGTTTTAAAATCTCGGCTGGTCTTAAAATGAATGCAAGAAAATGTTCAAACTGTCAACTGAGTACAGTTGCCTCTTATACCCCCCCCCCTCCCCATACATTACATCGTAAAGTATATTTGTATCAGCGTATGTTAAATGACCTTCAACTCTCTAATAATATGGAAAAAACTGCACGATGCAAATATAACATGAATGCTTTGTCCCAGCTGAATGGAAAATTATAACATTGATTTCTATAATTTTCTGAAAAGAGCGTATTGTATCACACTCTGGGACTAAATACATTTATAGATCATATTATTGATTTCAAAATATAACACTCCTATTCTGTAATATACATGTATAAAACAAAGATAAAATGGGACTTGGTTTGTTTGCAAATTGGTTATTGCAAATCACTGAGAATTTCATTCCTTACTCAATCAGACACAGACTGACTATAACTAGAAATATATTAGAAAACAACTTTATAGAGCTACATGTATCATGTAGTCTCTTTTTTCAATTGTTTAATAATAAAGTTCTTATATTCCTGAAATTTTCATGGACTAGTGTCTAAAGTTACACTTATTCATGTCATATAAATATTCACTTTGACTTTATTCTGAATGTGAAGAAGGAATCATCCTTTTCTGGCCAGTAGCCGGGGAGTTTGAGTGGCTAAAACAAAGTTGTGAACCCCTCCCCCCTTTTTTCAAATCTAGTGAACCCCTTTGGCAAATCCTGGCTACATGCCTGCTTTTGTATTGATTTAGTTTTGTGTAGGCGAGTGTTCACTTTCAAAAACGCTCTACCCTGTAGTTTGTGAACTGCATTTAGAGTCATTCGTGTTTATCAGTTTTATAGAATGGGATAGGAACAATGCATGTAAAAATCGAACTTTGTCGCTTTATTTAAAGTTTGCATGTGTATCACATTTTCGATGGCTACTGATTTGATCTACAGTATGAATGGAGTCTTTTCTATTTGCAAATGTGCAAGAAACTAAACCAGAAAATAAAGAACCTCTCCCAGGTTGCCTCGGGCCTCTACTCGAAAAATGGAAAATTGAAAAATGTTAATGCTTCATCATCGACAAAACAAAGGTGATGCGTTTATTAGTGCGTTCTAACCTCTAGAACGTAATTGACAAAGTGAGAGTCTCATTTGTTTGCCAAGTCTTTTTTTAATTCTAGTGTGTCAGTCACAGTGGCGTAGCGTCGTTTACGCAAAGTACGCAAATGCGTCCACTGGAACAATCCAATGTTTATCTGAATATTTGGAAATTCTAAATTTCTCAAGTTTTAATAAGCAAAGCCATTGTTCAACCTTATCATTTCGTATCTTTGAACAGGGTTCAACCATAGAAATTAGGTGTTTATTTTAGTCCCGACATGTCATTAATGATTCTTTCAAATTATACTCTCATAATTTCGTGAATACTCTTATATAATCCATATGACCTCCCCGTATTAAGTACACAATGACTGCTCATGTGCCGAATCCAGCTCCAGTTTTGGCGTATAAGTATCTTTTGAATTTAATGATAAGGGATAGTTAATCAATTACGCTAATATCTATATACTATAATAATATTCAAGCAAGATTTGGCTGTACCTTTTATCCATAAATCTTATCGGAAGACATTGAATAAGAGTAATCAACAGTGCTGTCTGCTGCAGACATCTTTTTGTTCAGTGTAAATTATTCAGGTAAGATTTTTACAACGATAATAGATTTTTTAAATGTTCAAAATTATTTTTGTGTAAAAATGGACCAGATTATGATGATCTTCGTGGAGACGAGGCACTGCGTGATTGTTTGACTGATCCAGGGAGAAAGCGACGTCTTGTTGAGTGGCAATGAGTACTTATGAGTAAATTTCAAGTGGAAATGAATGCGTATCGGGTAACCCCCCCCCCCCATCCCAATTTTGGAATTTTGCGTCCCCTAGTAAAATTGCCACGCTACGCCACTGGTCAGAAAAAAGAACGAAGATATAGTCGCAGTAACCTAGCCCCTGGATACCCCTGGAAGTGAAATTCAGGCTGAATCGTTTTTGTTTTCATTTTTGCAAATTGGGAATTCAATATACTAGCAGTCTAGTATCTCCTAGAGTATCTCCTACTCTAAAGTGGGTACAATAAAAAAATGAAGAAAAAAGTTTAATATTACCTTCTGTAAATCCAAGAATATTCTGCTATCACATCGATATGACATTGATTGAGATGAGTACTCTTTCTAATCTTTCTTCCAAACAAATGATTGCTATACAAAAAATAACCGAACGGAAGTTATTTGAAAATATTCTAATTTAAACTAAATTTGCATTTTAGTGGTTTCCTCATGGAATATTACATTCTTCATCACCTCGAGAAATATGCATTATATATATTTTACAAATCAAATGAGAAGATTTATTGATAATTTTACTTTACTTGCACAAATTAGAATAATTCTATTGTTCTTAAATCTAGTGCAAGATTTTGTTACAGGAATTTTGATTGGACAATTGGTATTACGTCCAATCAGAAGTCGGTTCTCATTCAGACTTGGGACAACATACGAAAATTGAAAATTATTGATAAAATAAATATGTGAACTATGCCCTCTAAATGCCCTCAAAATGGTAAGTACACTTATTTTGAATATATTTTCGAATGGTGGAGTGAACATTTTCACCATCGTGGAGTTACATTTGACGGAGCTCCTGAGATTCACACATTGTTTTTATGTTGAATTGTTTGGCGGTGGGGGAGGTCAGCACATGCCGTAAAGTGGGGTGCAAAAATAAATGTCAACCCTCAAAAGTTGTCACAATGAGCTAAATTCTTAGTTTCATGTCTCAAACTCTCCCAAGCCACAGGGGCTTGTCTCGAGGCGTCGGGCAAGCCTTCCGATGAGTCTACTGCTTATTAATAGTATTAATCTATTAATAAGCTTATTAATAGTATTAATCTATTAATAAGCAGTAGACTCATCGGAGGGCTTGCCCGACGCCTCGAGACAAGCCCCTGTGTCCCAAGCGGTAGAAAAATAATTCCCATTGACTTTAAGTTCATACCTGCAAATGATGGATAAATCCCTACCAAATCGAACGAATGTTTTCATGAATCGCCATGTTTGTGATCGGAGGAGGATTGACTCCAAGAATGCAATATCAGGTAACCTTATTTACTCGTAACAGATTTCACCTCAACATTTGAAGAGTCGGCATTAAAATGTGAATTCCACTTCGAATTTTTAAGTTCTTATTTGTCATTATGGACACGAATTCCACTATATCTGGACTTACTAGGACAGAGAATATAGAGTCCCCCCCCCTTGGACGAATGCGAGAGAAGCGAGCGCGAACAGTTTGATGTGTCCAAAATAAGGTTATATGCAATAAAATTTGAAAAATGTGGGCCAGGGTGTTCAGATTTGGACCAAGGTGTCCAAAATTTGAAGAAAGGTGTTCAACATTTTTAAGTTACTCATGTTAGGTGTTTCCAAGTTGACAGGCCTGTAGGGTAGATGCGTCAAACTTTGACGCATGGGGTTACTTCGTCATGGGGCTATTGCGACCATGGGACTATTTCAACATTGGCTTACATTTCCGTTTCCTGAAATCTGCCATGTTTGTTTTTGGAAAAATTTAAAAATAAATAGAAATCTCCAACTGGCGAGATCTAATTCAAGAGGGTCGACCCCAGAAATATTAATTATTGCAATGGCGGAAATAACCCCATGGTCAAAGTAGCCCCATGACGAAGTAATCCAACACATTGAAGTTCAATGCATCTCCCCTACATATATTATGTCATGTCTGTAGGACATCCATTTAACATTTATAGAAAAAGGTAAATTTTATACCTCAAGTCAAGAGTGCATAAAACATGTAGTTCAAATTGCTTGAAATTGTGCTCATTTTGACCTCCAAGTCATCATTTGAGGATATCTTGCAAATTCTCCAGTAAAATCTTGAGTTAACTTTGTTTCCAGTGATTCTGCCAGAATAAAGAATTCATATGGTCTGGCTTGTAAGAAGGTAAAATAAGAATACAAAAGTTCTCCAAAAAATATAAACTGATGAGGTCTTATAATTTCATGCAGAATCATCCCAGACTTGAAAAACTTGAGTTATGAGTCCCATCACCTGAAAATCTCAGAAAACAAGTTCAGATTTTCAAAGTGACTAATAGATTTGATAGGCTATGAAGTAATATTGCACATATAATTTAATAGTCAAAAAATTCAAACTGGATGCCCTTGGGAAAAAATTTCTATGCTCAAATATTAATTATAAGCTTTTGTCCAAATTTCAGAGATTGATGTCTTATTGGCATAGGACCTCTAGGTGTCTCCTCTTTGTTTGTGTAGAGTTTGCCAAACTTAGACAGGAATTATGCCACAGTGTTGAACCTGTTGACATTTTCATTGAGATATGTAGAACATTATTTTGTGAGACAATAATATTATTGTTGTACAAAATTGCAGACTGCATTTGCTGAGGATGTGAATGGGCCCCGGGGAGAATTCATTGGCTACACAACTAGGGAAGCATTACAAAAACTCTATGATGATTTAACCCAACAACTTAACGACTTTGAAGAATCACAGAAAAAACTGCCTTGGAAAGAAAAATTCAGAAAATCTTTTATTTATCACACAAAGAAAGAGTCAATATTACACTGGACTAGCTGTGTTGTCGTGGTAACTGTTGTCATATTGTTATTGATTAGCTACATATTGTCTTCTAATAGGTAAGAAAATTACAGCATAATAGTCGTTTTAAAAGTAATATTCATGTTTATCTGAAATGATCTTTGATATGATTACTTCTAGTATACAACTTGTAATAATATTGCAAGCCAAAGTATTTCAGTGCATTCCATTTTATGATTGGTCAAACAGAGTTCACATGACATGTACGTCATATTGATGAGTAGCAATATTACTGCCCTAAAAGATGCACTTGTAGCCCAGTGATTTAAATGTTACTATCAATAGCATAATAATGAAATACAAAACAAATACAGCATAGTTATGTGTATTCTATTTTTGGTAACCACTTGCAACTGCAACACAAAATTATTATGCATACATTATAGTCTCCTGGATGGTGTTTAGCATGCCGTGGTCGGCATTCAGCATCTGAAACAAATGGCAGGTGGTGACATTTTGCATGTTAATGTCTTGTTATCAAATTGTCCTTATTTCCAGAAATCACTGGTTAGTGGGTGAAGCACTTTTCCTTGTAGTGATACTATCGTGTAACATTTACTTCCTTATATGGGATGACAGACTCAAGAGTTATGAACTTGTCGATAAAACTAGACTTGTCCTAAAAAACTTAGAAGGTATGTTATATTTTCCTTAGAAACTCCCATTATGGCAATTGTCAACATTTACCTTATTTAATAAAGTAGTAATGGTTCTTGAGCCTAGCTTAGGGTATGAAGGTCTTATAAGGGACTTTATATATAGAAAAATTATTCACATATTCGTTTTTCTTTTACGAATCAATCTCAAGATAGAGTAAAAATTAGTTGGTAGAGGGATTTTGCCTCATCAACTCTTAACATATAATTTATAATGATATAATACATGTACATATGTATGTACAATTTAAAGGATATGATTTCCTGTTTTCAAATAAATTCAGGTTGTATCAAGCCGTATATATGGAATGCCAGCAACTACTTAAACTTACACATCCCCCAGTCCCCATGTGTGACCCTACAGTGGACATATAGAGATGGGGAGGTTGTCAACCTACCGTGCAACCTCCTTGTTACTGGGGATGTCATACTGCTTAGGCCTGGGCTGGAGGTGCCTGTTAAGTGTTACGAAATGGAGGTAATGCTTAAGTATTCATCGAGCTTATGGCCGAATTTCAAAAATATTTGAACGTTATGAATTAGTAAAAAATGTTGACATTCATATGTTATTATTGTTATTTATTCATATACATGTGTTGTTTATTGTGAAATGTTGCTTCAGGGTCTCTCTCAGAGGAACAGAGTTTAACTGCATTGCAAATGCTTGTTTACCTGGAGTAAGAAATTATTGCAGATACCAAGGGACTTTCAAAAAGAAAGTACAAATAATGAATGTTTTTAGACCTCATTTCAACATGTCAACACTTGAGTAGTTATTAATAATACAATGGGAAGGTTGTGTCATTTAATCAGGAATAGCATACATTTAACCCCATCTGTATACTCTTCGAGTAGTTAGTAACAATACAATGGGAAGAGGTGAAAATCAGGAATAGCTCACATTTAACCCTTTAACTCCCATGTATTCATAATTTCCAGGAGTCACAACCTGGGGAGGAGCCAGAGATGTACTCTCAGGGTGACATCTATTCCCCTGTCCCCAAATCTGTGCCTGATGTCCTAGGTGACTCCCTTGGCAAGATCCCTCTCAAACCTAAACTGTTCATTGTTGATGAGACACCATATCAAGACACTTTGAGGTATGTTGTTCTTGATCGCTTGGTGATGCAAACCTGGAGGTGTCAACTTTGGTTGGACATTTTCTTTGAAAGGCCTCATCTCCAAAGATACCGCCAATCATGAAGCTTGTCGGGCAGTTTAGGCTTTCATCCACGATTGCATCGATATCTGATACTAGTGATTACATGAAAAACTTAAAAGATATTTTTTAGTTATCAGATATTCAAAACAAATGACAATAAATAAAATTATTTCAAATTGTAATTCTTATCTTTTTTTGACAGGGATATTTTAGAGAAATGCCAAGATAAACCAACAAGTGTCATAGATAATGAGAGACACATTGTGTGTAGAAAATGGCTTGGAACCTGTATTCTGCCTGTTATTGCAGTAAGTTTGTCAATCTTCAGCACAAATACATATCATCCAATGTTTTCCATGTTTCACGTGAAAGCCTGAATAAAGTTTAGAAAATGAGACTCGCGTGTTTGACCTCTTCAAACTTAAAGTTGATGCTGGAATTTTGGAAAGCTCCTCTCCCATGAGGAAATAATATAAACAAGGGAATATTCCCCATGATCTTATCCATATCCACCCACAGAACTTTATTGCATATAAGCACCTTATACATGTAAATTGATAAGAAACACCATGTACACATGACCTGATGAAAAAAACACCCTGTACATTATGATAAGAAATTCTCCATCCAGGAACTTGATAGGGCACACCCTGTACATGTATATTTTCAGATTATTTCACTTATTGTGAACACACTGAGATTTGTCTTGCTTGGAGAACATGTGGGTCACTGGACTGAGATGTTCATTACATCACAGGTTAGATCATATTTCTTTGTACATGTACCATTGGCTAGCATGATGGCAAATATCACATATTGATACACATTATATTAGACCACCTACTTCATTTGATTTCAACTTACTTGTTTTTTTAGGATCGTGGCATTTTTTCATGAATGATATTAGTTGAGCTGTGTAGTTTATATTTTTGAAAACAAATCCACTTTATTATATACGTATTGATATAAGATAAGTAATATTAATGTATATTATTACCACCTTGCCGGGCCAGTTCTAGGGGTTTTAGTGCTAGTTTAGAAGGCGTTTTCCCCGAGAAATTAGATATCGTTCAATGTGTGTTCAATGCGTAAGATTTTCTTGCTGTTTCAGTCCTGGTCGTTAACGGTGGTAATAATACGTAATAACGTCATTTCTGCGAGCAATATAGTGAAATATTGGACCTTGGGCCTTCGGCCCTCGGTCCAATATTTCACTATATCGCCCTTAGAAATGACGTTATTGTACTATTGAATTATATTTAAAGTGTATTAAAATGAATTATGAATTATAAGTATTACATGTATTTGCAAAATACCATGATTATTCAATGTTAATGGACCATTTGGCATTAAATTTGAATGAACATTTGCACCCAATAATTTCAATGTACCAAATAACTTTGTGCAAAATGATAGCTTACCTTGCAAAGGAGACCACCTTGTTAGTGGATATACATATGGTACATATGGACTGGTACATAGTATACATTATAAGTTATTGAATGATTTGAAGTGCAATACAGGATATATTCTGCTCGAGAAATTCTGTATTGGAACAATACAAAGTTGAGTGCCAATACAGGATATCGAGAGCAGAATGTATCCTGTATTGCACTTCAAATCATTCTATAACATTTTTATCGTGTGATCCTCTGTATTGCTACTGAGAATGTCCCCTCCATATAGAATACCAATATTTTCTGTATTGCGAGATGATCAATAGGGACAATTTCAGTAGGAATACAGATTGGTACAGCACAAGAACTGACCAATCAGAAGGTTTCATTTTACAGATCATACGATAAAGATTGTTACAGCACAAGAATTGACCAATCAGAAGGTTTTTATTTTACAGATCATATGATGAATATAGTTATTGTGATTTATAAAGGTGAACATCATGCTTCCTCTGCTCCCATTGATGGTTCCCATTTGCTGGAAGTTACTGGATAATTATGGGCTTGCAAGAGTCATGGAAGTTTTCAATAAAGCCAAGAGAAAATCAAGAAAGGTAGAGATATTACTAGAGATAGTACTTGCTAGTATCCTCATCTCTTAATCAGTTTGTCTTGTATGTATGTCATACAGACTTTACTTACTTACATACATACTTTACTTGAGAACATCATTTTCTCAAATGTTTTGAAGATAAAAAACTTCACGAGTCGCTCTAATGAAAAATTCACAATAGTCCCGCAATAATTAACATAGTTCTTAAAATATAAGAAACCTGAAACATACCAATTTTCTCTCTCAGACAATATCAATAGCCACTATCCAGGATGAATTGAAATTAATGAGTAATGTGCTTTGATTAATTATTAAGGCTTATATTTCAGTGCACCTATGATTCATTTGACTCTGAAAACGATATCAAGGAAACACATACTGTCGATTTTGATTGGAGGATGATCCGAGATAATTTTATGGCTGTATTAACAGGAACAGCTACCTCCCTTCCAAGAACAAGCAATATCGTCCACGCACTTGGCAATATGACAGTGAGCATATCATAAGCAATTGTTACTTATGTATTCACTCTGTGAAAGAATAATCACTTGAAATAACTAGAATTTCCACTTTTTGGGTTTCAAGTAAATCTTTGATTTGTTTATTCAAATAATTTCTGTTTGCTTGTATTCTGTATGTTGATACAGAAATGAAATTGTGTTCATAAACTGTAAATTCATGATAGGCTAAACAAATGGTCCTTAATAAACTGAACTATTCAGTGAAGTGTACTGCACTGTACTGTACTGCACTGTTACTTGTACTGCATTGAACTGAACAAGTGTATATTACAATATATATATATTAATATTCCAGTGTCTGTGTTGTGTGGACAAGAAGGGAATTCTCTCTTGGAGTAATCTCTCCCCAGAGAAGGTCTATTTCCTCACCCACAAGCAAACACTAAAATCCAAGGAGAAAGAACGCTCGACTCAATCAGTAAGGTCATCAAAAAGTTCCCAGAAAGATCCCAGTTTGTTAGGGTATGACACATCATCTTTAGATGAGGGATCACAGACAGCACCTCAGACAGGTAGAACAAAAGTTACAAGTACACATCAAATCTTAATGTCACCACCACATATTGTTGTAGTCTCCAACTTATTATGGATTGTGTTCAGCGGTTGGTGTTTAGTGGTCGGCATTCAGTGGCTGGTGTTAGGCCTCTATAACAGATGGCAGATTTGGCAGGTGGTGACATTTTGCATGTTAATGCCTTGTAGTGATCAAAAAGTCAGATGTCACGGTTCACGGAATATCAATGCACTTTGGTAAGGTTCTGGGGCATGTTGCTTTACCAAGAAATATCAACAATATCACTTAATTTTAATTTTTAACCCAACATCTGATTAATCTCACATTAAATAAACCATCCCATAAAATAGCCCAATTAATTTTCCTTCTACACTTTTGCTGAAAGCTAGTTTTAAAAGCTAAAGCTAGAGGTGTTATTATTTCAACATTTATATGTATAGACCATTTACTGTAGATGCTGCATCTGGAATATCATACCCTGAAGTGTTGGACCTGACCCAAGATCCCCAAAATGAGTTTGGTCTATTGTTTGATGACCCACTGTGGAGAAGACATCTCAACTCTCTCAAACCACTTGTAAGTACATGTAGAGTGTCAACACACTGTTTTCTGTATTATTACAGAGATTTTGCTCATACGTGAAAGCACAATTTATGTTTACGCGAATAGCTATATGTTATAAATATAAGTGAATTGAAGTTTGTTGTTTCACAAAAAACTGAATGTGAGCAGACGACACTTTGAAAAAATGTACTTATACGTATAGTAATATATTTTATTGATCAATTCTAATGTTCTTTTCAACAAGTATGAATTATTTTTGCCTCCAAAATTCCTTATTTATAAGGTGGATTGGATAGTAATGTGACTTTATGCCAAATATCTCTATGATTCTCCTCCAATAAGATTAGATTAGAGATTAAGTATTCACTCATTCATGAACAACGTTTTATAAGTGACGGCTCTACATGAATGGATAGAGCTACGCAACAAATGATGGCGTAGTACACACCCGTTATAAACATACAGGATTTATAAACACGCTTATAAGTGCATCCCGAAATGTCTTTATTATACCTTTCATTTTCACTTATAAGCCATTGGCATTCATTTACATTTAATATGATGTATAAGGTGTTTCTAAAATATATTTTACTTCAGGTTAGATATATTTCTGAAGATGAAAGAAACAAACTGACTCATCAATGTTTGATACTGGGTCCTGGTCACAAACCATGTGGAAATAGAAACTGTCCCTAAAAATATCAATATGTTTTATATGTCTCTGGAATAACCTATAGAAAATAAAGAAACTAGAATGTTTTAATAACACATGATGGGTGATAATGGGAGTTTAAAATTAGAGTTAATAGTCCATTTTACGCTTACCTATGCACAGTTTGTTATTGCACTAAGTGTTATTTACCTGAGTTACAACGATCGCAATATGTAATTATCTATTAATGGCCAAAGATATGTTTTTCAAAAACCTGTTTTTATTAACAAATTATGTCATTTAAGGATTTAAGCCTTGGTGCATTGTGTGCTAAACCATTCCGCGAAGAAGTTGTTTCCAAATCTTTGCATGACCCTGCAGGGGGAATGCAAAGTTTAGGAAACAACATCTGAGTGTTTCAGTAAGAAATAGACAATAATATACTTATTAATCTTTTATAAAGCTTTCACATTCACTTATTTCTATGGCATCACACGTGCAGGGTTTGAACATTCTCTTGAATGCGTGCAATATGGACACTTCTCAGGAATACAGTCAGTACGCTGACCACATCACATCAGTGGCATACAACAGTGAGAGATCTGTGGCTGTTGTCAATAGAAGGTGAAATAATACATATACATTTAACACTTTAATATACTAAAAAATTCTTTGATAATTGTACAACATTTCTACCCTAGAGTTGGTACTCTATTGCCAGTTTATATCAAACGTAAATTTGTCAAAACGGAAACTTTGCAGCTTAAAGGTAATCTTGAATGTGTTTTGTTGTTTAGTTGAGATCTTTGTGGTAGAAATCTAGTCTTATAGGGTATGGCTTGTAATGGGCTTGGAACAGAAATTTAAAGTAACACGTGTACATAATAATATATTACTTTCATTTTTAAAACAAATTCAATTACAATCTTGTTCAGGTGTTTGTGTGAATTGGCTCGTAAAATAGGCTTCACGACGGATGCAATGAGCATTTTCAAGCTGCAACAGAATCTGGCGATGTATCGTGATGTGCCTCAGGAAAGCATGAGAGATTTCACCTACAAGAATAAGATAGGACGACACAGGGTACCCATGCCAAACATGTTCTCAACTGTGGTACAGGAAACTAACTCAGGTTTGTTCACTTTATTTCTGCATTGTTTTATAATGATGAGACTGAGGTATCCCAATGAAGTACATGTGCAACATACACACCTAAAATATAGTTCCAGAAAAATTAGCCCATAAGCATTATTCATACTAATACTATAGACAACAAATTACACTTTCCATTGACATTTTTGTTAGTAAGCGGCCATTTTGAAAAATGGTGGCCATTTTTATGTATGTTATTTTACGTTTTTTGCTTTAACTGAAAAAAGAAGTGGATTGATTTTGTTGAAATTTTATATGTGAATACTTGACTTTATTCCATGATGGTGAAATTCCCTGCAATCTGATTGGTCCATGTGACTACACGCACTTTCAACTTAGCGTTGAATACAGAGTAAAAATGACGTCAGCGTTGGGATACGGTCCAGTATCCCAACGCCCCAGATTTCCATCCAGGATATGACTATTACTGAAAAAATCAATGGCGATCTGTTTACACCAACGCATGCTAATATTTGCATTTTGCTAGAAATATCTGATTTGAATATCAGGAAATGATACGGTGATCACCACAATTTATTATTTTAGGATAAAAAACACTCATCTGTAATAATAAAAAAATCAGTGTGAAGCATGCACATTGTTTTCATGAACTAGTAAAAATCCAATATGTCAGACGAAAGTCGAAAAATCATTTCATTACACTGTTCCAGCTGATGAAATTGAAGATAAATGTTGAAGAAAATCAAAGGTATCGTATAATACAATAAAAGCAAAACAACAAGGCCGAAAAGATTTTGAAGGAATATCGATATGAAATATTTTTGAGGTGAGAAGGTTGATCTGTTTCTCCGGTCCCAAGCCAAGGAAATGGACTTGATTTAGGGGAGTTTTATCTGAGTAATCATGGAATGAAAACGTTATTCAATGATTTCTCGTGAAATACAGAAAATATTCTTCCCTTGAACGTCTGTATTTCACTCTGCTAGCGCATCGTGAAATACGACCTTCTCGGGAAGATTATTTTCTGTATTTCACTCGAATCATTGAATAACTTATAGTATTAAACTGTATAATGACAATCTGCTTAATAGACGTCCATTTACGAAAAAGCTGTTTGGTGGAATTTGCTACACCTTGGCATTGCTGTTATCTATTATTTTAAAGACACAAGCTAGTTATGATAATTTACCATGTATTTACCCAGGTATGCTTCAATTGATGTCCCAGGGTACAGCAGACATCTTACTGGATTCTTGCAGTGATTTCTGGGATGGTAACGATATATGCCCTCTCACAGAGGCTGATAGGTAAGTAAATAAATATATATAAGTACACACATGGTAAGTATTTTCAGTTGTGTACATTCTTTATAGAAGTTGCCCCAATTGTATGTACAGTTGTAGTTTTTCACTCATAATTATTGGTGAATATACTTATATAAATGGATCTTTAAAAGTCCAATGGGTCATAATCCAACATTAGCTGGTGGTTTTTTAAACAAATTTAACTTTCTCAGTTTTTCATTGTATCATAGGAAGAAGATCCTGGATTTCTACCACCGCACAAGTACATCTTCCTACTGTATGGCATTTTCATATCGTCCCCTGACACAGACATTACACGAGAGCTTAGGCAGTACTTATATTGAACTACCTGATAGATATAGAGAGCTATACCCTGCAGTTAGAAGCCCTACACCTCCAAGGTAAGAGAGCTTAGGCAGTACTTGTATTGAACTACCTGATAGGTTAGAGAGCTATACCACAGATAGATGTAGAGATGTTAGAAGCTATACTCCACACTATAATCCTCTCAAATAATCCAACTTATTCATTTCATGTTATATATGAATCATTGTTTTCTCTATTTCAAGTAATTTTTTTAGTAATATATCGACACAAATTCCAATAGAAGACACAAGTCTAAATGTAAGCTACAATACAGTTTGCTGTTAAATATACAACATGATTAAGTTTTAGAAAATGTTCATTGTAGGTCATGGGATGTCCAATCACTGGACAGTCGGCTGACCAAGGAGAAGCGTTGCTACAGTGCAGATTCCCTGATGAGTGATGGCAGTAATGGCTCAATCCAGAGTCTTGAGGGGTGCTTCAAAACACAGTGCAATCAAATATTTATTGGCATGGTAACAATGCAGTATCAGGCCAGACAGGTGAACTGAAAGTTATATATATGTATAGTCCCAAACAGACTGATATTGTCACAAACATTGTAAATATTCAAATGTGATTGACAGTTATGTTACATTATAAAACCTTAGCTTTTATACCCTGTGATTAGTAACTCAACTCCAGCAAGCTAAAACAAAGAGCCTAGCCCATACAGCACCTATATTGAACTACTCGATAGTTCGAACGCTATATATTATGGGTTATTTTAATTTCAGGACATTGTATCCTTGGTGGAACAACTTGAAATGGCCTGTATAAGATTTGTACATTTTTCCAAAGAAAATGAGCTACGGAGCAGGGTAAGATTTATCTGAGGAACCACCCTTTTATCTTGGGAATAGAACTGAACATTCTAAATATGATTAATCATTTTAAAATACTTTGTTTTTGGGTTTAGAGAGGTATTGATTTTGAAAATTATTGTACTCTAGCACATAGACTCTGCCTTTGGTGGTTGTTATGGTAACCCTTGTTTAAGATCAAAGTTAGCTTTACTTATAGAACACCCTGTACATTCATCTAAGGCCATTAGATCTCAGTGTTTAAAAATATTTTTGTGTCTTATATCTCTTCTAAACTGAGGTCTAAAGTAAAGCTTATTTTGCTATAAAACCTTTATTTATCAAGATATTTTGTTTAGATATCTCTATCATTACATTTAACTATTATTGAGTTATCGATTTTTGAAATAATTGTACTCTAGAAATGGCTTATTCTCCAGCTATCCTATCCTCACATAAATCAATAAGCTTTTAGAATGGCAAGGACTGTATATAAAAAGCAAAAGATAAGGCAGGCAGAGGAGAAAGTAATCCGACTAATGATCTGAAACCTTTACATGTATACTGACATCATGTGCATATATTATTCCACTGGGCTCATCTTAAATGATTATGAAATTGTTGGTTGTAGGTGTTCTCAGAGAAGATGGGACTCGAAGCAGGCTGGAACTGTCACGTCTCTCTGAAGCCTGATAAATCCACAGACAATCTCTCCCCTCAGAGTCACAGTACGAAGAACTCTCAGAGTGACCTTGCTCAGAGGAACTCTCGGATCTCTAGCCGCCCTTCAACTGACACCCTCCGGGAGTTAACCGCTGTAAAATTGAAGACATCTCGGGACTCTATGAGGCATCGATGTTCTAGTGCTCCTGGCGGGATAAACACAGATATGGTACAGGTGTCTTTTAATATTGATATTGATTCTAATCGTACCAGTAGAGAGGGATCAGCACCTGTTGAGCATTCACCACCAACAATAGAAGTACATCACCATGACAACTGCGATGACACGCCCACTCACAAAATATCCACTCACTCAAATCCTGTCCAAATTCAAAACAGTCTCGGAGGCCATGACATAATTACTCAAGAAAATATCGAAGAAGAGTTAAGTAAATCACAAAGTATGCCATCACAGACATGTGATCCTCAAGAACAGGATGGGGATTCAATCACGTCAGATGACGTACATTCCCGGTTGCTGCCCCAGGGTGGGGAGGACATGGATAGGAGATCATGGGTGGATAGTGGCCCCATCTCCGGGAGTCATCACACATCTAGCTGTGCTACAGATGACAGTATGACAGGGGGATATGACATGACAAATCGGGTAGGTTGTCTTTGTATTCACTCCAATTAGCATGTTACATCTTTTATTTGCTAATCTTGATTTGAACCAAATGCTTTGAAAGAAACTTGCATGAAAAAATAATTCCTGAATCAATACTAAAAGAGTAATGTAATCAAATATCATTAAATTACCTGATTATCTGGTAGAAGAACTCATAGAACCACAATTGGCACAAAAATTATCAATTTTTAAAATGATTTAAAATTGATTTGATAAAAAATCTTGACACCACTTAAATAAAAATGTTTATTAAATGTAAAACTTTATTATGTGGTTCTACAGTACCTTCAGGTAATTGATTGATTTTGAATGAAACAATAGATATCCAAGATTTAAATGGATCCTGCTATTTTACCTGAATGCTCCATTGCCTTTTCTTGTTAACATTTCATTTTCATTAATACTCAGTTCTTATCTGTTTTAGACCTTGGAAGAGCAGAATAATGTTAGTTAGAGGTCATATAATACATCAATGTATGCCGAGTCAGGGTTAATTTTGCTTTGGGAGTGGGAAAGGTTATAAACCAGTTTTATTTGGTTTATTTTACTGATTTATATTATTGATTCGCTAGCTTGAAATAAAGCTAGGTATAGGAATAGGCATCTGTAGCAAAGGCCTCACAACAGTCATTAACATGTATGGACCTTAACAGTGAAAACATACAAAATGGGTGTGCCAGTATTTATGAAAAACAGAATGCAGCAATTTTTCGGTTCATTATACATTTATTTCAATCATATTGCAGTCAAAAGAGTTACACAGGTCACTGCCTAGCGCAATGTGCATTACAGGCTAGCGTTTTGATGCAGCAATTGATTGACAGGTGGTTAAATTCACCACTCATGACCTTCAAATGAAAGGGCAGGGACTTTGTAAACAAGGTTTCATTTTTAAGGTTGATTAACAGGGTAAATGAAATAGAAAGTTAGTGTTAATTAAGTTGCATTTTTAGGGTTGGCGAAGACACAGTAATAAAATTAACTCCCTGATCCGGCATGCATTGGTGTGATCATGTGATCCTATTATAGTTCCGTTTATTTTAACCAAGGATGTGTATCAATGGATTAAATATGTAAAACATTCAACAAACTATAGTGTGTATTGAAATGTATGTGTGAATACCTCTTTGAAGTGAACACACTTTTAGTCATTCTCATCAGCGTCTAAGGCAGGTTTCACTGTTCATGTAGACCATTGATAAACATTCACGGTTTCATTAATTAACAATTCCTTACCCAAACCTATATTATCCCACTGGTCGAAGTTCAAGTAGGGATACAGAGCAGGCCTGTAGCCAGGATTTGTCGAGGGGGCTTCACCTTTTGAAAAATTCCTGGGGGATACATTTTACACAACTTTGGCCCTAATATGGCAAAAATCACTTGAAAAGTGCTCAGAATGGTAAAAAACTGCATGATTTTGAAAGAAATTTTGGCCCCCGAACTCCCCATGGCTATGGGCTTGTAGAGAGGCATCTATTAATTTGTTCATCCATCCATCTGTTTATTTGTCTGGGTGATAACTCAGATGCTTGTTGTCAAATTTAGTTCAAATTGATAAGCAAGTGCCTTATGGGTATAGAACCTTTGCTCATGATGGAATTTCCATTTCGGCTGCTCTTTCAAAATGTTCATCATTTTTCTAAAGATTTATTCATTAGGCTATTAGCTGAATGCCGCTACTAGTGTATGTCATATTAAAATAAAGTAATACAGCTTTATGAGGTTTAATATGATCACCATTATCTTTGGTAAAAAATCTGACATTTTTGTTTATACGGTATATACAAGTGTATTTATTTATTTAATATTTGCTGGATTTATGCACATTTTAAAAATGTACTCTTAATATGTATAGGACATCTAACTGACATTTAAAATCGGTATTTATTTTAAATGGCAGCTCAATCAAAATGGCCAAGGGTTTTTTTGATTTTGGTATCACCAGTGTAGTTTTTTTGACAAATGACCATGGAGACTTTGCTGTTGCCTTGTTATTCTATGTAATGAAATTTTCAAAATCAGGAGTGATTTGTACCATGGGCATAATGCTTCTGCGTAGAGTGACTGTTTCAATATTATGTTTGTAGACTGGTAATCTGTATAATCATGGGCTTTCAATTAGACTAGTTGAAAGCCCATGATATAATATAACATAAATTAAGTAGCAATTTGGGATAAGATGAGGTTCATCATAATGCAAAAATTATATTTAAGATAAAGAGCAATATACACCTTAGTTTTTAGAATAGAATATATCAAATAATATGGTGATTTGGTCTAAATAAATTATTCTTAATAAGGTTATAGGGTGGATGCAAATTAAGAATAAGAATGTAGTTAAAATCATTTGAATAAGATTCATAAATAAGGCCTTTGGATTCTGGATTTTATAAATTAGTGTATTTCTCTCCCTAGGGTTACACAATAAACTAGATGCGAGTAGAAAAAATCTTGATTTACGTCATTAAATATTCAAAATTCAGTCAAAGTGATATCATATTTGAAATCTACATGTAAAAGTACATCTACAAATATGATTTCAAAAATTGTTTATTAACTTTGAAAATTTAATTTTTTGAAAATGTGACTTCTAGCTCGGGTTGATTCCCCATAGACCCCATGTTACAAAATCACAAAAAGAGAAATATCTTTTCTTGTATTGGACAGATAAAATTTTCTTTTACTGGACATATTTTAATTCACATAACAATTAGATACATAAGGGTTATATGAAAATTGAACCACTAAAACAGATGTAATTTAAGTTAAAGGGAACATTCTACTATACCCGCCATGCTATCTGACCCGAACGAGCCACCTGGTGGTGAAACTGGTAACTACTTACTCATCATCTGCGTTATTAGAGGATTCTGATGTGTTTTTATTTGGAGCAATTCTAAACTATAATTTTTTTAATCCTGAGATTTAAATATGGCTTCTTGATATTTATTTTGTAGTATTTTTTAGATTACTGAAATTTTAATACCTTTGATGTGAGGATTTAAATTTTGAGTTTTTACCTGAGAAGTAGGTTATTCTTTGATCACTTATACCTGTTCTTTTATCAACCTTTTTATCTGGGTTAGAAAACAACATGGATAAAGAATTTTGTTTGATCTCTGTTTTTATCAATAATTTTCACTTTTTTGTTTGAATGAGATATCTCTCCATTCACACTTTATTTATTTCATCTTTTCATACATGTTGTTTTCCACTGACATTTGGAAATATTTCTCGCTTGTTGTGCAGAAAATATTGAACTTTTTGATGCAAGACTCAGTTATTGGTTTCTGTTGTAATTTCATAAGTGATATAGATTTGCAAAATCATATACAGGGCATTATATTACAAGGGGTTATCTGTAGCATAGGAACTGAGCTTTACAATTATAAATCATGTTTTTGTGTTTTTCTGTAGGCTAAGCTACCAAAGGGTATAGAGAATGTGCGTCCACATTTGCAGCATGTTGATAATGTCCCTCTTTTGGTGTCTCTCTTCACTGACTGCACTGCTGAAGGTACAAAATCATGTATACTAAAAGTAAAAACACATTCAAGTACATGGTGAAACTAGATGGTAAAATTCTGAGGATGAATCTTCTAGATTAACTTGACTAAATAAGTTTGTGTTTGTTGTTTCCTTTATTCTGTTTTTCCATGACAAAAACATTAATTATTCAAACGAGTCATGAACCCCATTTTTCAGCAGCATTTCCTTAAAAACCTTTAAAAGTTCCAAAAAGCCAAATGCCTGGATCAATATAATATCTTAGCATGCGCTGGAGTTCCATTGTGGTACCATGGTATGAATTTTAGATTTTTCTAAAAAATGTTTTTTATTCTTGTACTCTAGCCACGACTGAGATGTTTGACATAATGCAGGACTATGGGGAAGTTGTATGTTGTATTGGTAGCAGTGTAAATACAAAGAACACGCCACTCTATCTCAAAGCTGATATAAGGTACTACTACTATTGTATTTAATATGTACTTGTGCATGTTTTGCCAAAGGAAAGGTCTGGATTCTCACAAAATTACCTCGAGCAAATACTGTGCATTGTAGACTATTTAGCCAGCGAGAAGTTGATCTTTTTCTTTGTACATTATCTCCTCATTTGTATCTCCCTAACTATGTGTATGTGGTAATAGAGTCTGAATTCTCTCAAAAAATAAATTGAAGACTATTCAGCAGCCAGTGAGAAGTTACTATCTAATTATTCATGTCCCAGTATTGCCCCCTCAATTGTATTTCATTTACTGTTCTTAATAACGTTTGTAGTAATAGAGGTGTCTAGTATTCTTTTATATGTAATTAATAAGATCAAAACATCAAAGTTACTTTACTCAAAGAGATCAATGAGATTAAATTGTAATGATTCAACACTTCTGCCTATGAATGGGATTTAAGGAGATAAATACTCTAGTTAATCTTCTTCCATTTTGAATAAAATGATCGTTCTAATCTAATTAAATCTGAATAAAAAAATTCATTCTTTGAATCCTACTACACCAGTTTAAGATTAACACATACAGTATAGTTTCCTTGAAATATTCAAGATACAGTATGTCATTTTGAAGTTTGATAAAATCTTACTTTCTAATGTCTAGATTATCTAAATGTATAAAACAAAACATTGTTAAGAAACTCTACTCAAAGATATCAATGAGATTTTTTGAAAATTGCATCTTACATAAGATCAAAGCATCTACTCAAAGATATCAATGAGATTTTTTGAAAATTGCATCTTACATAAGATCAAAGCATGTTCTCAAAGATATCAATGAGATTTTTTGAAAGTTGCATCTTATATTAAGCACATTAGGATCAAAGCATCTACTCAAAGATATCAATGGGATTTTTTGAAAGTTGCATCTTATATTAAGCACATTAGGATCAAAGCATCTACTCAAAGATATCAATGGGATTTTTTGAAAGTTGCATCTTATATTAAGCACATTAGGATCAAAGCATCTACTCAAAGATATCAATGAGATTTTTTGAAAGTTGCATCTTATATTAAGCACATTAGGATCAAAGCATCTACTCAAAGATATCAATGGGATTTTTTGAAAGTTGCATCTTATATTAAGCACATTAGGATCAAAGCATCTACTCAAAGATATCAATGAGATTTTTTGAAAGTTGCATCTTATATTAAGCACATTAGGATCAAAGCATCTACTCAAAGATATCAATGGGATTTTTTGAAAGTTGCATCTTATATTAAGCACATTAGGATCAAAGCATCTACTCAAAGATATCAATGGGATTTTTTGAAAGTTGCATCTTATATTAAGCACATTAGGATCAAAGCATCTACTCAAATATATCAGATTTTTTGAAAGTTGCATCTTACATTAGGATCAAAGCATCTACTCAAATATATCAATGAGATTTTTGAAGTTGCATCTTATATAAGATCAAAGCATCTAATGTATCAAGGGAATTATGAAGGTATAAGTAGCTAAGAACAAAACAATAAAGATGATCTACAAAGGGATTAATATCTTAATCTTGCACAAAGTTGATTTTCTTTAAATCCCCTGGATATTAAAAATTTGATCACAAAAACAATGAAAGTGTAGTAATGTAATAATAAAGTTAATTTCTGTAATATTATTAACCTATCATCTGCTCAAGCCAAAAGCGGCAATTTACCGATTGAATCATATTTAATATTTTTCTATTTGAAATAAAATTTTAACATAACATGATATTGTCTCCTTAGGAGAGGCCTCACATCCAAAAACATGAATCTATCACATCCCAGCTCCTTTGTTTGACTTCAGCATGGATTTTGTAACATACTTATCAACATGCCATCATATCCACTTGGTGTATGAGTGTAAATCAAATTAAATATACATGTACATCTCTTTTGGTTTTAGTTTCTCTGTGGACCCATTATACCCCCACGTGTGTATCAAAGAACCAATCATGCGAGGCCCCTGGGAGGAGAAAGACCCATCCCCAATGGATATCTGCTCTGAACTAAATAGTATTCCATGTGCTCTGAGCTTTGATAGAGAAGACAATATCAGTATTGTTCAGCTAATAGCAGAGGTTTGTTCTGTTCTTTTCCCCTTATTGGTGCGGAATAGTTAATTTGAAATTTCTTTAAAATCAGATAATGTGTATGATATTCATGTTCCTTTAAAATCGATCTGACCTGTGTTCACAAGTTTATAAGAGATTTGCTGTCTTCGATCACTTTACAGGACGTCTGAATCAGTTTCTAAAAATAATGTACCTTCCTAGCTGCCAGTCACCAAATTCTTATTGTGACCTTTTCTGCACTTAATGTATCCATTGAATCCTTGTATTTCAGAGTCGTAGACATTGTATGTCTATGCGGAACACATTTCAGTTCATGTTGCTATGTTACGTAAGCATCTCCATGACGCAACTTATTGGATCTCTTGTGCAGTTACCTCCATTACTACAGGGTCACCAAATATTATGGGTCACATGTATCATTGTTCCTCTACTTAGTCTCACACTTATGGGGAACCCTATGGATACAAGGGTCATGACACTTGCTCAAGGAAAAAATGCTAGCCATATTAAGAAAAGGGTAAGTGAAACACTGTGATTTGTAATAAAATTTGGGACTAAGAAATATAATTTTGGAGTATCTTTATTATAAATTGTTAAATAAAATATGTTGAAATATTTGTGTAAACGTGGAATAGGAATTAAATTTCTAAAAATTTATTTTTTCAAACAGTATACCTTTTTAAGAATCCTCTTAATACAATGTAAACATCATACTGGAAATTGATAAAAAAATTATCAATTGGATAACATTTTTTGATCATGATAATATATCTAAGATGTTGATCTGAGTAATCTTTAAGCTTACTCAAGTTTTGATAAGCCCCTTTGATCTAACTTTGAGTAAAAAATAAAATGTATCAGATATGAAGCCATATCAGATAACCATGAAAACATAAAATAAAAAGATTTTAGGAATTAGATTATCCCCTCCCCTTTTTGTGTTAATTATGAAGCCATATTGATGGATAGCTCTACAGTATATAAAGCTGGTGTTTGGATTAGAGTTCAGTTAAATCTAAAACTTTGTCAAGTGAACAACACACTGAACAACAACAACAAGAACAAACTGAGAAAGTAGATTGTGAATTATAAAACATACTAACATTCTGAATAAAGCTTGGTCTGGATTAGACTCCAGAATCATAAGGAAACATGATGGTGACACTATTCCTTGGATTGTTACTGTTACAAGTTATGACGGATATCACAAACGCGGATGTTCTGCCATATAAGGAGCAGGTTGTCAGAGCGCAGTGCAAATCGAAATGTTTGCAAAAATATGGAAAGATCAAACTACCGGAATCTGAGTACATCTATGACGATCTTGTTCCATATATATGCGACGAATCTGGAATACATGGAAATTGCCTCCAATGTCAGCATGCCTGTGACTTTCACACTATTGACGATATCCCAGGATGTGAGGGAGACTGCTATTATAAAGGATATGGAACCGAGTGTGACAGAGGCTGTAGGATGCTTGGACGTCTGTGGGGCCATGTACAGGAGACAGAGACAAAAACCCTCGCTGTATCGACGTCAACTCCAAGGATCGACACTCCTGAAGTACTTTGTCAGTATGCAGGATTGGACTCCACTAATAATGACACGACAGCAAATGTCTATGTACGTCTACATACATTCAGGAAAATCGATGAACCTCTCCCATTTATGTTTGTCGTGGAAATGGCTGCTGGCTCCGATGATTGGGTGCTGCTTGGGGGAACCAATCACAGCGTGGTTCATATTGATTCATTAATTCCAGACACTGACTATAGATTCCAAGTGACGAGTGTTCTGCCAGATGGAGTTGTAAGAAAACCAGTTGTCTCGGGAACTTTCCGTACTTCAGCTGTAGGCGCTGAGATTAACTCTCCCAAGAGTGTGGACTTGATTAGACAGACACCAGCGAAAGACTCGAAGGTGAAGGCGCTTATTAAGTGGGGCTACTCACCAGAGAACACATGCCAGTACCAAGTATTCTGGTTTAGTGATAATGCATATGACCAGAGCTCTAAATTCCCATTCTTGCCCAGCAACAAATACATGCTTGAGAATCTAGAGTTTGGAACAGAATACACAGTTAAGGTATATGCCTATAATGGGGACTTCACATACGAGACGGAACCAACTGAAATGAAATTCGAAACTCTTAGTTGTCTTGAAACAACAGGCTTTGACTTCTCTACATGTCCACCTGACCGTATTGAAAATCTTGAATACACTATATCCAATGTTACAAATTATATTAATGACACTGAAGAGGCCGAAATTGAGATAATTGTTAACATGACTTGGAGTGGACCCAATTTATATGGAAACAACCCAGATGTTATCCAACATTACAAGATCACATGGCAGAAACTTCCAGACTTGAACAACATTTTTGACTCTTCTCCGCATGAAGGTGAGCTGATCATCCCAGTGAACGGGACATCTTGTATAATAGATGGACTAAGTGGACTGGCAAAATATGAAGTTGCACTCTATGCAATATCTGCAGGAGGTGAAAGTAAGCCAGTAAAATTTCAAGTGAATGCTTATGTGAATACAACTAAAGATGAAGATGAGATTGTTAACATAGTTGAAAATGGTTCAAATAGTTTGATTTATCTATCCATCATTCCAATTGTACTTGTCATACTACTTGTTATCATTATTCTGGTTATATTACGCAAACGCTTGACAACTCAAAACAAAAAATGGCACGATAATTCTCAATATATTTCCGACATCGAGGCAAGTGAAGCTCTCATAGAAATTGATGATTATGAAATCAAGTTTTCCAGCCTCTCTTTGGGCCCAATCTTAGGTCAGGGAGCGTTTGGAAAAGTAGTAAGAGCTGACATTGACGCACGACCAAAAATCATGAAAAATCTCTCCCTCCCAGTTGTAGCTGTTAAAATGTTAAAAGATGGAGCATCAGGGGAAGATCGCCAAAATCTCTTATCAGAAATTGAGCTAATGAAACAGCTTGGACGTCATAATAATGTTGTGAGTATTGTCGCAAGCTGCACTATTGGACCAGCAGTAGCTCTTGTGATGGACTTCTGCCCATACGGTGATTTGAAGAATCATCTGAAGAAACTGCGAGAAAAACATGCACCATTGTTAAACCTTCTACCTGAGGGTGAAAGTGAGAAGTTATACAGTAGTGGCATCTACACTGAACGGTCCTATGGATCAGCAGACAGCGGTCTGCATGAGGAAAACACAAGCACGGAGACTGTTACAACAGGTGCCGATTCGGAGAACTTCAATGACCTTATCAGTGTGAATCAGCTATTGTCCTATGCTAGGCAGATAGCTGTAGGGATGGAATATCTTGCTCAGAAGAAATTTGTTCATAGAGATTTGGCTTGCCGCAATATTTTGGTCGCTGATTACGATGTTGTGAAAATCTCTGATTTTGGTCTGACTCGTGATATCTATGAAAACAGCCTGTACCATAAGACAACACCTGGGAAGCTACCATTCAAATGGATGGCTGTAGAGTCCATATTTGATCAGATGTACACTTCAAAGAGTGATGTGTGGTCATTTGGTGTCGTACTGTGGGAACTCGTGACCCTAGGTGGCTCCCCATATCCTGGTATATCTGGCACTGAACTGTTCAAGCTGTTGAAGGAAGGCTACAGGATGGAGCGACCTGATAACTGTAGTGAGGAAATCTACCAGGTAATGTTGGACTGCTGGCACCCTACATCTCAGCACAGACCAAGCTTCACAGCCCTGCGCAACCAATTAGACTCCATGCTGGATGACTCCACCAGCTACCTCGACCTCAACATGGAATCCAATGCAGATTACTATCGTAGAGATAGTAGCGCCTCTGACAGCACCACTAGAGGTAAGTATAGTAATGGGGATAGCATGATGAGGTCTAGATCAATGGAGCACCTCAACAAACCATCATACCAGGACAGAGGCTATGACTATGATGATCTTAGTGTATGTGATGATGATGACATTCAGTTGAACAACACATATGATGACGCAGTGCTTGATTTTCACATTGAAGCTGATGCAGTGCATTATCAAGCTGGGGGAACCCCTCAAAAACTATCTCCCTCCCCAAGGCGCTCCCGTTCTCCAAGGCGTTCTCAAGCCTTCACAAATCCTGACTATTCCAGTATACATGGAAGTGCATCCTGTCTTACTATTGATGAAACCCCAGGATATGAGACCCCTAACACCCCTAAAAATAGTACACCCACAATAAGCCCTGCCATTTCTGGTATGTCCCTACATGTCCCAAGTAACCCAGCCCCATCTCGTAGGACCCTCTTCCCCCCACAGCCATCTGGGATCCCTGTACCCATAATCAATGTCATACCTCCAAACAGTCCTCCCCCTACACCTTCTCCACGTCAGAGCCCTATCAAGTACACAACAGTTGAGCATTTCACTTCCAAAGGGAATATTCAAGGAGATATAGACCAATATGGTTCAAGGGAGAACTTAAGAGGTAATCTAGGCCACTATGGTTCAAGGGAGAACATTCGAAGCAATGAAGTACACTATGGTTCAAGGGAGAACATTCGAAGCAATGCGGGCCACTATGGTTCAAGGGAGAACATTCGAAGCAATGCAGCCCCGGCGAAATGATATTCTTGTGATATGAATATTCATGAATTATTCATGAATATTCAGGTGTGATGAATATTGTAATATCGAGATAAATTGTGAAGAATAAAGATTTAACCATATTCTTGTATTTTTGAAGAATAATAAAGAATAATTTATGTTCTTGAATATTCTTCAAATTCTATGGTGAATAATTGAAGAAAAATAAAGAATGTTTCATGTTCTTCAAAATACTTCATATTTTCACCACCCTGAATGAAGAATATTTGAATAATAATGAATAACATTTTCTATTTCTTGAAATCTTGGAAATTCTTCATATTTTCACCATGTTGTTTAAGGAATGAGAGAATAATAATGAATAACTAAAATATTCTCAGATATTCTTCATTTTTTCACCACTTCATTTGAAGGATATTCGAAGAATAATAAAGAATATTTTGTATTGTTGGATATCCTGAAAATTCTTCATATTTTCACCACCTTGTTTAAAGGATATTTGAATAATAGTGAAGAACTTCTATGTTCTTAGATATTCTTCAATTTTTCATTACCTCATTTGAAGAATATTTGAAGAATTATGAAGAACATTTTGTAGTTATGGTATTCTTGGAGATTCTTTATATTTTCATTAACTTGTTTGAAGGATATTTGAATAATAATGAGGAACTACAATGTTCTCAGATATTCTTCACATTTTCACCACCTCATTTGAAGAATATCTGAAGAATAATAAAGAACATTTTGTATTGTTCGATATCCTGAAAATTCTTCATATTTTCACCACCTTGTTTAAAGGATATTTGAATAATAGTGAAGAACTTCTATGTTCTTAGATATTCTTTAATTTTTCACCACCTTATTTGAAGAATATTTGTTGAATAATAAAGAACATTTTGTACTACTGGTAATCTTGGAAATCCTTCATATTTTCACCATGTTATTTAAAGGATATTTGAATAATAATGACGAACTTATGTGTTCTTAGATATTCTTCAATTTTTCACCAGCTTATTTGAAGAATATCTTAAGAATAACAAAGAACATTTTGAATTATTGGTAATCTTGGAAATTCTTCTTATTTTCACCTACTTCTTTGAAGGATATTTGAATAATAATGAAGAACTAAAAAATATGTTCTCAGATATTCTTCACTTTTTCACCACATGTTTCCTACATGTTTCTTTATTTAAAAATCTTCAAGAAAGATGTTTAAATAAAGAAACATGTAGGAAGAATTTCTCTGCTTTTATTTCAAATTATTTTATTATATTTAGTATGTACACTAAGAATTTTGACTTTTATACATATTATTATTATATATATATATATAAATTCAAGAATTATCTTCAGAATAACAGGAATTCTGAATTATAGTTCAAAAAGTATTTAAGGATGTTCCCTGGACGAAGTTGAAAACGATGAACACCAACCCCTAATTTTTCTTTTCAAAATGTGAAGTACATAGCATAACTAAGTGTTTCTGTGAGTTTAAGAAAAAGTTAAATATTCAAAAGTGTGTTTTGGGGTGAAAACCTGATTTTTAACATGGGTTTCAATGAGAAAGTGCCACGCCCACTTTTGTCAAATATTGACACTTTAGAGGCCTCTTGCTCAGAAAAAAGCACACTAACATACGGTTTTTAAAGTTTTAATATTCTTTGTTGCCCGTGAGAATCCCAGAAAACCATTTTTGAGAAAAAGTTAAATACTATTGAATATTTTCCTATCTGACCAGGGAACATCCTTAAGTATATTGTAAGAAATTGTATTTGAATCCAACAGCAACATACTAGTATGTTATAGTATGTTTTATTACATAAAATTGTTATTTACCTAGGTTCAAGAACGCTATGTACTAGGTTTAAGAACACTTACAGAATTTATTCAAAATAAAACATTATTTTGTATTAAAGATACAAATTATTTTACTGTGTATTTAATATTCAATATATATTCATCCTGGCAACACTTGCAGAGCTTTTTCAGAATAAAGTGAAATATCTAAGTCCTGGAAAATATTCTACAAATATTCTAATATTCAAGAATTATGATTATTGTCAATGCATAAGAACTTTATAAAAGTCAATTTCATGTGAATATTATGTTCAATATGGTGTAAGGAACACAATGGAAAATATTTCAGTTATCGCCCGAACAGATGCTTTATTTGAAAACGGAGCGTCCAATGCCATTAGGCATTGCTAGAACATACATTTGCATATTTTCTCCACACTGAACTAAAACAAGTTTTCTCTTTAGCTCACTTATGTGATACAGCTCTGTTTTCCCTGAAGGTTTTGCTTTATTTGCATAAGTTGAACCTCTCTGCACTCTGAGCATATCAATTACTGCAAAATGTGTTTCTTTGCCATCAGTAACAAACCTCTTAATGAAACCACGTTTTCCATTTTTTAATTCCACACAGTTACAAATTCTCCTCTTCATGCGTGCATACTCATCAGAGTAGAACATCTCTCCATTTATGGAGATTCGTGAAGCCACTGATGTACAGTTCTGAGGCACAGAGTCCAGATCATGATCAGAATCAGATAATGGCCTTGTTTTACCATGTATTTTAAGTTTTTCCTCAGTTGTATTCAACTCTTTGATTTTGACTGGTTGATTTTGTGTCCTTATTTTAATCTCAGCTGTTTTTTGCCTCATTATCTGTGTTGTTACATCCCCTGTTCCATGGCACATTTTTAATATATGTGCATTTGAATCTTCATAGGGAAAGCAGCTCCAATTCCACAATGGTCCCAATTGTTGGACCCAATATCCGAAATGGGCTCCAATGTAGTGCAAGTTCAATGTACAGTCTCCAGGGGGATATAGCTTGGGGTATTCAACGTAGAATTCTTTGAGGAGAAGTTCTGCTCTGTTAATTTGTTCTGTAGTTATACTGTCACCAAGCAAAATGTGTATGCCTTCAGAGAGTTTTTTGAAATGGTCCAAGTATTTCTTAGGGAGGATTCCTTCGAGGCAAGGTACTGCATAAAAAAGCATCCATGTTTGATTTTCAGTTGCCTTGAAGTGTAAATAATGTTTCTCCAGGTTTCGTGGTAACCTTTCTATCATGTTTGGTGGCTTAATATACTGCATTCTTCTTGAAATTTCTTTTATTTCTTTACCAACATGGTAACTTTCATTGCTGTTTTCAGAAGAAAACCACCTTTTATTAATTTTTGGGATTACACCCATACAGACACAGTGCATGTAGTCGGGTGGGCAAAGTTTGCTCAAGTCCACTCCTTTCAGATCATAGAGCCCAGATTTACCTTTAAAACCCAGGATTCTTTTTTTCTCTTGGCCTTTTGTCATGCAATCGCGAATCTCCTTGTCTGTTCTGTATTTGTAGGTGTGCTGGGCTGGAAATGCTTTAGTGTGTCCACCACCTTGTACTTCAGTTTTGCCTGGTATTTCACAAGTTGTGCAAGCATACTGGCCGTTATAATATGTCATGTTCATCATATTTGCCCTAGCTGGTAGGTCTGCTGGTGATGTAATGACTACTACTTTCACATTTATCATTTCTTGATTTACATGAATATCTATGCCCTCTGTATATAGTTTGTTCATTTCCGATGAGAATACTTCCATGTACTGTTGGAAAGGTGGCTTACCCTTTCCTTGCCATAAACTAGCTGGGATCATATTTTCACGAGCAAACCTCTCTGCAGGAGGGAGTTCAGTCACTGATAGGAAAATCGGCCATATTTCAACACCTGTTGATTTATAGAGGTTAACACCATCTGTATTCATCATGACACTAATATTGTGAGGATTTGATAAAAATCCAGTTTTTATTAGGTTTCTGTAGACCTCACCATCTGTAACATCTTTTAGTACCCCATCACTAGTTTCATAGCGTTCGAGTATGACTCCTTTGTTTTTCTGTAGGCCATCCCACATTCCTGTAAAAGATAAATAAAATAAGTTCCTGTAAAAGATAATTAGGACAATGTAATAAAGGACCCACAGTCTTGTGCGTCAATTAGCAATTGAGTTATCAAAGATTACTTTCTTTTATAAAAATGGCAGCCATTTGGAAATTCAGTGGCCATTTTGAAAATTCTTTCTTGAACAGAGCTACTGTGTCCCTAGGTATGAGCATATAAAATTTGAACCAAATCCGTTCACTGGTATTTGAGTTATCAAAGATTATTTTTTTTACGAAAAATGGCCGCCATTTTGAAATTCAGCTGCCATCTTGAAAATTCTTACTCGAACAGATCTACTTTGTCCCTAGGCATCATCATATAAAATTTGAACCAAATCCGTTCACTGGTATTTAAGTTATCAAAGATTACGTTTTTTTAAGGGAAAATGGCCGCCATTTTGAAATTCAGTGGCCATCTTGAAAAGTAGGATTTTAGAAAATAATGCCAAATTATTCAATTGAACTGAAACATTCCAATAATACTTTACCTGGTAGCTCAAGTAGGTCCTTTATGTATTTCTTTGGATCAAGAAACACAAACTTTTTGCATGGTTGTCGATTAGCTTTTCTCTGTTCCTCTGCTGTACCAATATATCTTAGACCACCACACGGACATTCCACACAGTCAACGTCATCCTCGGGAAATATCCTGCTACAATCTGGGCAATAATGAATTTGCTTGGTAACATTATCCACTATGCTCCATATCTTGTCATATGATATTTGATTCCAAACCTGAGATTCTGGAGTTAGTTTCTGAAATGTTTGTAACACATCTTTGCAAGCTGTAGCTGAAAGTTCATTGCGAATAAAACATGACAGTATCTTTAAATACACATCACTGCCAATTATATCTTTGTCAAGATCAAGTGAGTCATTTTCAATTTCTGAACAGGATGTGCGTTCAGTCTCCGAATCAGATGAACAACTGTATATGCTTGAATCACTATAAGAATCAAATTCAGAGTCAGAAAATATATTTTCATAACCGTCAGAGTCCAATTCTGAATGCGAGTTCATAGATGTTGAGTCTGAGTCAATATCAAGTTTGCCATATGGCTCGCTACCATTAACATAG